GGTGTTGACAGAAGCAAGTTGGGACACTAAGTAGCCCCAGGCCATGGTGGGCATGAGTGTGACATGGCACGACACCATGCATGGACAGGCACAGGTGCCTGAAATCTTTAGTTTCTGATCAGTGTAGTGAGGTATACCTATAGCCACTCTTGTTTCTTGAGGACCTATAATGCTGGCCCTAGAGGGTGCTGATCACAGCCTGTGGAAGCTCATGTTTGCTGTATGTCCTTGGCCCTTGACAAACCTTCACCCTGTTGTGGTGGATTCTGAAAACAGCAGCAATGACTACAGCCATGAGTGTTGGGCTTGGAGGTGGGCCCTGTGATCAGGGGCTGTTATAGGTAAGGCCTAAGGAACATTTAGGTATGGCAGTCTGGAGTCTCATCTCTCTAGCTCTCTGCCTTCCCAGATTACCATCACTGAGATATCTCTTCCATTTCCTGAATTATCAACCTCTTAGTAGTTCTTTGGTGAAGAATTTTTCTCCAGTTATGTCTAGTTATTTCCCAAGCTGAACATTCTGGACAAGCCCTTGCCATCCTGCTACCTGCTTTGGGTAGCTCCTTCTTCCCCAGCCTGTCCAAGGGGAACACCATTCAGCTGGGCCCCTATGGCCTAGCCCTGTGGAAGCTGGGACAGAGTTGTTGTCTACACAAATCCAGGAGAGCCTTCTCCCAACCTGGAAGAAGCCCAGCAGAAAAGCCCCATAGCAGAGCATCAGGGAGTCCCCTCAAAAACTTGGGTATGCAGAAGAACATCAGGGGCAGGCAAAGCCTGTGCTTGGCAGCTCCTCCTGCCTGCCTTCTGCTAGGAATGGGCATCAAAGATGCCAGTATATACTTATTTACTTATGCCTATCTGGCACAGGAAGGATGTAAGGCAGCTCCTAAGGCCATGCAATGACCAGTCATAAAAAGCCTAGATCTAAGAAGAAGGAAGAAACAAAGGTGGGACATAAAATGCTACCCATGCAGGCCAGCCTGGTTATGGGCTTCTGGTGGCACTAACACCAAGGAGAAACCTGATGGGGAGGAAAAGGGCAAAGGAGGCAGAATTTCTCAGCCTAGAGAGATCCTCAGAGAGGAATCTTTTGTGCTGGGAGCCTGATCAGGTGGGCTTGGGGCTGCTTCTTGGTGATTTTTTCCTTGGCAGCCTAGGGACCAGATTCTAGAAACCTCTAACAACAGTCAGCCACCTCCTTGTGCAAGCATGAGGAAGAAATAGGGGTCAGGGTTGTAGATAGATAGGCAGTAGGGTCCCTGGCAGCAAGGGTGCTAAGGGTTCAGACCTATAGATAACTCTCCAGGTTAGGCCCTAAGGCCAGGCCCTGCTCAAGCAGTCCCTGGTCAAGGGTATCTACATAGCTAGAGGAGAAGGATAGTACCCATCATCACCCCACCTCCATTCTAGTACACAACCCAGTTTAGATTGGGCTGAGGCTCCCACACCTGGCAGGAGGCCCACAGCTTTCAACTTTGGGGCCAGGAAATTTTCGTCTGAGTAGGGTTTGGGGGTAGGCCTCCAGGAGCCAAGCCTGGTTTAGATCCCATCTGAATGGAGAATTAGTTCACACATGCTTCACAGGACTGGGCCTGTGGAGGAATATACTTGAGCTTTCATGGGTTCTGGTACTCAGGGCTAGGCTCCTGGTGGTGTTGTCCCACTCCCCAGCATCTAGTGCCCAACGGCCATCTTTATGCACCCACTACTGCTGCTTCTTGCTTGATGGGTGGCGGATATCCCCAACCACATGTCTGGCAATGACTAGCCCACATTGTCTTCCCCTTGTACCCTCAGCAGGACCAAAGTTGGATTAACTAGACAAGTGGACTGGCAGATAAGCAGAGGTCAGGGCAAGGGAAGCCAACAGGTTTGGTCAGGCTTGGTAACAAGGGGCCCTGGTTGGAGGGGAAGTGGCTCCAGAGGCATATAAGGTAAAATCAGGGAGGCAGGAGCAAGTTCTACCCACAAGTCTAGTGCAGACACGAACACACCTCTCACATGGAGTGAGTCCCCTGACCAGGAGGGCCAGGGGAATCTGGAGTCTGAATAGGGTATAGAAGGCTCAGCAATATGGCCTTGTAGTACGAGGTCTCCTGCAATGGCACAGCCCACCTGGCCATTTCAGAGTGTCCCTTGTGTAGGTCCTGGGTGGCCTGAACTTCCAGGTAGCTCTGTACCCAGCAGGTGAGTGGTAGGTGGTAGCCTCGGGCCTCCCCTTGTAGACCTACCTTAGAGTGGGGAGTAGTCTGGGGCCTAAGTACTGGTGGCACCTCCAGGCTTCTGCTTGGGCACTGAGGCTGGAGTAGCCACCTGGTGATGTGAGTCATGTATGTCAAGATACTATGGGACACACAAACACACAGACCTCAGGGACAAGCTCAAACCTGAAGTCAGGCACAGATACTCTGAGTTGCAGGCACTGCCAGATGCTGAGTTGCTCCTCACAGGAGCAACTCTGCTCACATGTGAGGGCCCCCATCCAGGAGGTCACTTCCAACAGCCAGAAAAGCAGAGCCAAAGCACATACCCTCCACTGGCACTGAATGAAACTGGGCATCCCAACATGCTGTGGGATGCTCAGAGTGGATGCTCAGGGGGGCTTCAGTCTGAACATCTCAGCTGTTCCTTTTGATATGATGACTTCCTTCTACACCCTACTGTCAGCCCCAGGCCCCTTTGTCAGAGACTTCTCTGGACCCTGCCCTTTACTTCTAGTACTTCATTCAGCCTCATAACCGCATGTCACCCTTCCTCTGTGTGCTTACCCTCAGAGAGCTTCAGAACAGTGTGCAAGGTAGGGGTGGCTGAAGGAGGAAAAGGGTGTGGTGTGGCAGAAGAGGATGGGTGATCCTGCCCCACTTCCCAGGGGAGGGTGAGGCAGAGATGGGCCAGCTTGGCCCTGAGCATAGTACCCCACCCCCATCGCCAGCTCCTCTCCCTCCCCTATCCTTGCGCAACCTGGAGCCACAAGTAGAAGTGTGCAAGACATCCCCAGGGTAATTGCAGGTTACATGGAACAATCTGAGGAATTAAAATCATATTTTCATTGCACCATAAAAACATGCAAAGGCAGCAAGGAGACAGCCCTGGGGCCAGGTGGAGAGCACCTGGCCTGTGGCACTCTGGCCCCTCCTTGTGTCTTCCTGGGTGGAAGGGAAGGGCAATCTCTGAGCAGGGGCTGGCCATGCCATGATCTTGGAGCTAGAGCAGTAGGGACACCCAGGACAGAAGCCATCACTGCATAGCATATCTGGCCTGCTTCTGACCCTGGCCCCACCTTGATGCAGGCACAGGAGCTCAGGGTGAGAGGCCCATTGGAGCTGCCATGTGTACACACTCATGTTGGGGTTTTCCTCTTATGGTCCTGATCCATAGCTGACTGTGTGGGGTTTTTGGGCTCATGCCTCACTAGAGCAATAGCATGCCTCCAAGGTTCCCTGAACCTGTTTCAGGGCAATGAACCCCATGGCCAAGCCAGCGTATACTGCTCCAGCATCCAGCCCTGAAGGTTGCCCTGGTGATTATGGTCCCTAAGATCTTTGTGGAAGATTTTCTTCTGCAACACTAACTGTGAGATGGACCAGTCCCCTGCTCACCATTTCCCAGGAGTGCATAAGGCCCTGTGCAAAGGGAGTCAATGGACTTAAGACCATCTGGGATATGAGTTATAGACATTTTGATCCCTCCTAGGGGTTGGCACATGCCAGATGAACAGCACAATGAGAGGAGAAATTATAGGAGCAGATATGCTGATGCAAGATCTGTTTCTGGGGAAAAGGTGTGCAAGACCACCTGGAGGGACTATGGGGGACATGGATGTGTGTGGGCATTCTGACTGCCAGTGACAGGTACTCCTGGCTGACTGGGTGGGCAAGAAGGCAAAAGGCCCTCACCCCAGGGAGCTGCCTGGTATATGCTGAGGACCCCACATAGGCTGAATCTTTTCTGTCATCACAGAGAGTACCAACTGCAAGTTTCTTGTCTGCCCCAAAATAGAGGGTGCTGCTGCGGCAGAATAATGTCTGCCCTACCTGTCTGACCCCCAGAGGGGCCTCCCACAGACCCCCCACAGGCCCCAGGTGTTAGCTGACCTCTTTGCCTCTGAGGCAGACAAAAAGCTCAGGCTAGAGGATTCTTCCCTGCAGGATCTGCTTCAGGGGTGTGCCACCAGCCGTGCGTTAAATGGGACACGGCTGATCTGGCTCTGCACTTGTCAGGAGGACCCAGCCCAGCCCAGCACTTGGCATCTTAATTGGGCGTCTGAGAGCTCCCGCACACGCTTCACACCGTGAGCCAGGCTCCCGTAGGCCCATTAAGGTACAAACACATTCCTTTGTTCACTGACAAGCAGGGTCCCATCCAGGGCTCCCAGGCCGGCAGACTAAGTGATGTTTTCTTAAGGAAGACATGAGATTAGCTGCCACTAAAGCCTCAGCACAATGCCGGGCCCTGCCCAGCGCTGTCAGCACTGTCTCTCTGCAATGTGACAGACAGGCGCTCCCTCAACCCATCAAGCCTCAATGTGCAGGATTAGCCAGAGTGCAGCCAACAAGCTGACTTGGAGGCCATGATGGAAATGTAATGAGGTGGCTGATGTTCAGGGACAGAAGTCTCAAACACTCCTGTCACTTGCCCCAACCCCTGCCCAGTATCTGCTTTGGGCTGTCCTCCTTGCTTTGAGGTACACAGAAAACTAAGGGGAACCTTGCAGAGGGTCCCCAGAGAGATCCCTATGAGAGGTCAGATAGCCAGGAGGCACAGGGGGGACTGTGTTCTTCCTGGGGGCCAGAAGGGTCAGCATTTGCCCCTCTCACCCACTGGCTACTGGGAACTTATATGCTCTGTACTCTGGATGGCCCCAGTTGATTGTGGGCTTCCCTTGCCAGCAGGTCCTAGAAACTACTCTCATTTGATGAAGGGAGCTGGTGGGCTGGCCAGGCCCTACCTTACCTGAGCAGTCCTGCATATATATCAGGGATATCATAGGCAAAACACACTTTAGGAAAACATCCTCTTTATTTACAATCCAGAAACGCCAGGGGGCTCGGACATGGGCAGCCCACAGAGTGGGTTTCTGCCCAGGCCGTCATCATTTGGCATTTAGGGGTCTGGGTTGGGCAGTGGCGCTAGCCCAGGTAGAAGAGGAGAAAGGGGCTGACTACCTACCCCTGGAGCCATCCCTGCAGGGCACACCAGCCATCTGTGCAGATACACGCTGCTCCCATGCAAACAGAAGAGGGGAAGAGACTCATCCAATTCTCGCCTTCTAGTCCTGCCAACGACAGGTGGGAGTCAGCACAAGTCAACCCTCACATTTGTTTGGACACATCTCCCGCAGCTGCCCATGGGACCCTCAAAGGGTAGACTGGAGAGATGCTCCCCTCCCCCTACACCAGTGCTATAAAAATATTTTGAAATGATAAAATTTTTGTAGCAGGATCTTAACAAAACAGCTCTGTGAGTTATAATATTCTGATAAGAGTTTCCTCAAGATGCTTTGTTTGTCTGTATCAAAGGCATCCCTGGTTCTGGTAGGTTGTGGTGGAGCTAGATGTCAAAATGTCCAGGCAAGGCCCCTAGTCAGGACCTGCTGCCCACTGGACCCCTCAGCAGCTGATTAGACAATGAAGTCTGCCAAGAGTATCTCAAGGGGGAGCTTACTGTTCTGCCTACCAACTCTGCCTCTGCTCTGGAGGAAGAGGGGATCTAAAGAAAGGATTAGGAGGAGTCAACAGTCATAGGGGACACCCAGGGAGGGCTGGACTGTGTAGGCCCCAGGGTTTAACCCTGCTGGGGCTTGAAGAGTGTTATGTCAGACTGACAGGGGACAAAGCCCTGGCCATATGCATGCTTTCCTAGGGGCTAGGAACTCACTAATTTTTTTCCTCTACAGAAGAAAACTGCAATGAACACTGCAATACCCCTGAGACTTCTGGCCATCCGTTTGGCCAGCCCAGCTTTGCAAAGCTGTAACAGAACCAGATGTGCAGGGCGGCAGCTGGCTATGTATGAGGCAGCATCTCCACCTTCTGGGCAAGAAGGAAAAGAGCTGGTGCTGGCACTCTGAAAAGACAGGAGCGGGTGGCCAGCTTCTTGCCAGCAGCCCACAAGGACCAGCAACTTGAGGTTGCCCAGGGGATACTATAGGTGTGAGCTTGTCCTTTCAAAACCTGAACATGGGGAACATTTAATGGCCAGGAAGGGCTCTCTGGGTATCTTTCAGAGAGTAAGGATACTTGGTGGCCTCCCCTCCAATCCATGCTTCTAGGCTACCAGGGCTTAACACAGGGAGCAGAGCACACTTGTTTCAGGTGGCATAGTAGGTGCAACCTCCACCTACCCAATGGCTCCCACAACTCTGAACCACGTGTTTACCCTCAAACCTGTTTACCTGGATCTGGGCTTTTTAGGAGCCTTGGCAGTGGGGAGCAGCATGTCGTGTACCCTTGGCCTTGCAGGGATGATGGCTTAACCTCAGCAGCCAGTCACAGTGGGGTCCAGGCCTGAGCGCTTGGAGATACGTAGCTTGACCACCTCCTCAGAACAGGTGGGGTGGATGCCTACTGTCCTCATCACCTGTGCATAGGAGGCCCCGCATCTGCATGCAAAGATTAGCAGAGATACGCAAGGAACCTGTCAGCACAGGGAGTCATATCTATGCCACTCTGACCCTAGGAAGGCTTTAGAAGTACCCCTGCCTTCTCCAGTCAGCGCCAGAACACCTGCCTGTGTCTATGTTGTACCTGACCACCTCCTTCCCAGAAAATGTCCAGTTCCCTCAGTGGCCAAGTGGCAATCCCTTCTGGCCCACCTCCCATCCAACCTCTCCTTGGCTTGTTATAGCCTGGCCTCCTGCTGCTGTAGTCCTACCAGGCATAGTCCCATCTGGTCCTTCCCGAGGACCTGCTCCCTCACTCTGTCAAGATATAGTTCAAGGGCTGGGATTGTGGCTCAGTGGTACAGCGCTTGCCTAGCATGCATGAGGCACTGGGTTTGATTCTTAGCACCACATAAAAGTATTGTGTCCATTCACAATTAAAAATATATTTAAAAAAAAAAAGATATGGTTCAAATTACCAATCAAAGTAAGCTCAAGCCCACTTCTTTTTTTGGTGGTGCTAGAAACTGAACCCAGAGTCTTGCATATGCAAGGCAAGTGCTCTAACCATTTAGCTATACTTTTTATTACTGTAGACTGCACCTGCCTGGCCTCCTGCTCAGCCCAGTTCTGCTCAGACTTCTCACATGCAGCGGCATAACGCCAGTGCTCTGAGCACCTGCTGCCCAAGGCAGGGAGCTGGCTGCTCTGTGGGTGGCTGTGCCCTGAGCCCCAGCATCCTGCCTGCATAGAGTGAGTATACAATGGAGCATGGGGGAGGGGTCTGGTCTAGCTCAGCAACTAGCCCTATAAGAAACAGCCTTTGCTTCCTCTGGGAACTTCTGAGACCTGGCCCTCATCCAGGATCCCAAGCCCACCTTCCAAAATTCTACAGATTAAGAGCTGAGGTGGGTATTCAAGGCATCTACTCATGTCCCTTGCATTACTACACACACTCAATGTACACTGTTCATCTACTTGGGAAAACAGTATTATGGATGCCTCATAGGGCACAGATAGCTTCCGTTGTTTGTCATTAGACAAGGTTGCACTAGGCAGCTCTCCTTAAGATACACTTGTGTGTTGGAATATCTCATGGGTAAATTCCTAACTCAAACAATAGGTGTGTGCATTACAGACAAGAAGTCAGTAGTAGGAAGGTCCACTCCATGTCTGAAATATCAGTCTTTGAGCTCTACTAGCTTGCTTCAGAGCATCAGTGTTTCTACCATGTAGACCCTGGAAAATGATCATTACAGGACAGTATTAAGCCCTTTATGCTTTATCAACCAAGATGGTTCAACACTATTTGAATTACATTTTAATATTCCAAACTTTACATTTCTGGGCACAGTGGCCTTCTATTGTTTATTATTATTTTATTTCCTGTGAATTGCCTATTTATTTTCTGTATTTTTTCTTTTTAGGTTAACAGCTCTTTGCATATTAAGAAAATCAGCTCTGCTGGGCATGGTGGGGCACTCCTGTAATCCCAGCAGCTTGGGAGCAAATAGACATTTGGAACTGGACATTTTCTGGGAAGGAGGTGGTCAGGTACAACATAGACACATACATAGACACTTAGACCCTGGAATTCCCCAAACACATGGCATGATGGGGTTGGGATGTAACTCAGCAGTAGAGTGCTTGCTTAGTAAGCCTGAGCAACATAGCAAGGACCTTAGCAACTCAGTGAGACCCTGTCGCAAAATAAAAAATAAAAAGGAGTGGGATGTGGCTTAGTGGTTAAATGCTCCTTGGTTAAATTCTCTATATCAAAGAAAGAAAAAAGAAAAACAACTCTCTGCAGTTGCATTATAAAAAGAGGCTGCCAAAATTTAAAGGACTTTTCCAGAAATTATTCCAGAAACCAAGTGTTGGTATTGGCATCAGCATTTGCATTCTAGAGCATGTGAATGGCAAAAGCCTTGTGGATGGACCAGATTGTAAGTGTAACTAAGAGCTAGTTTTAAGGGTAAGAGGACTGGTTATAGGGAAGTTCAGTGAGAAGGCTGGGGCAGGAAAGCAGGGCCAATATGTTGAAAGGTTCCATGGGCAAGGTGGAGGATCTGGGCCAGATACTCTGGGCCCTGTCAGCCCCAGAAGTCTCCCAGGCTAGATCTAGTGCTGTGGACGGCCCCAGCTTACCATCACTTGCACAGTGTCAGTGAACTGGGCTCCAAGGGTCACTCTTCTTGCACCCCACAGGCTCTAGGAAAACTCTCAGCAAGGGAGGCTACATGAGGCTCATGAGTTCTATCCAAAGGTTACTAAGGACTGGACTTCCAAATGATAACTCTGCCACAGATGGCTCTGCAACTTAGGGAACACAGACACATGTTCCAAGGATATGAGCCCACTCCAGACCTAAACCTCCCTATTAGTTATTCTGTTATGCCCTGGGAGAACCTGATCCCTACAACTCAAGCCATTGCTCCAACATATGGGCTAGATGGGCTATGGTGGAGTCTAATGCTCTCAGCCCTGTGAAGGCCTAGACAGCCCACTGGGGAGAATGGGGGTTCCCCAGAGCATCTGGCCCAGACCCTCCATCTTGTCCATGGAACCTTTCAACATATTGGCTCTGCTCTCCTGCCCCAGCCCTCATTGCCTTCCCTATACCCAGACCTCTTACCCTTAAGGCTGGCTTTTAGTTCTACTCATGCCCCAGCATACTTTGGACCCCATCTGTCCACATACCCTTCTCTTTGTGTTAAATTGTTCTTGTGCCTCTAACCTCTGCTTCATGCACAGACAGCTCCACCCTGTCCAGCCCTTCTGCCTAAGAGATCCAGCAGAGAGGTGATCATGCTCTAGCCTCCAACTGTTACAGACAACCTACCCCACCCAGAGCCATTGCATGGCTCCTTAGACCCTGGAATCCCCCAAAACACATGGCATGATGGGGTTGGGATGTAACTCAGCAGTACAATGCTTGCTTAGCACATGCAATACCCTGTGTTTGATCCCTAGCACTGAAAAACAAAAACAAAACAAAAATATAACACAGCTTTAGTCCAGGACATAGGCAAAAGCCCAAGCCCCAGAAAACACAAAACCACTCCATTGTGGCTCTTTCCTGGCTCACTTGAAACCAGGACCTTGCTCTCAACTACCTGAGGGCTCAGCTGGGGAAGTGAAGACCAATTCTGCTTGTTCTGACTGTGTAGAAAAGGCCTAAACAGTGACCCAGGGCCACAATGATCCCCAGGCAGCCAGCCATAGCAGACATGTAGCATGGCTCTGCCTGAACAGTGTTTGGCTAGAGAAGAAAGCTGCCTCTCTTCCCACTGAACCTGCCATGTCTGAGGGGAACCTAAAGAATCCGTGTTGGAAACATGCGCAAGGCCACATGAAAGCAACATGAAACCCAGCAGGCTTTCCACTGTAGTGCTGCCAACACTAGGAGGGACACCCAGTCTGAGCAACGCATAACGGCCGAAATTCCTCCCGACTTACTTGATCCCCAGAGCAAATCCTTGAGTAACTTCACCAGCGTTGGGGCCGAGGAAGTGCAGGCCCAGCACCAGCTGTGGGGGCTCCCTCAGGCACACCATCTGAAAAACAGAGTATCTCAGTGGCAGCCAGGCCAAAGGAGGGACCCAACTATGTCCCACCTCTGGGGATACTAGTGATCCTCAGACATTCCAACTGTTTTGCTAGAGGGGCATCACAAATCTCACCCACCTCTGTTGCCAGCTCTTTCCCTCCTTTCCTCCAACCCCCTGCACACCTCAGCGCTGGACCCAAAAGACACTCACCTTTATGTAACACTGGGATGCATCCCGTTCAGCCACTGTGAACTCTAGTGGTTTATAATATGCGTGATAAACCTGGGTGACAAGATACCAGTTCCTGGAATTAGCAGCCACAGCAAAACCAGTCCTATGGGTATTTTTTGGATCCAACAGGAAGGGTGCAAGGAGTAGATGTGTTCTCAGGGACCCAGAATTATTCACTTGGCTCAAAACTGTGATGTGGGGTGAGAACACAGCCTAGTCTGCTGCAGAGTGTGTTCACCTCTCCCATGCACAAGAAGCCAGTACCTGCAGCCAAGCAATCTGCAGGATAGACCCTCTCCTGCTCAGGCCCTAAACCCCTGTAACTATATGCAGCAGGACACTAGATTGCTCAGGTACTGCTCACCATGATGCATCATGAGCTTGGGCCAGGGCATTGGTGCACTCCCTTGGGAGCAAATGTTGGGTAGACACAGGTCCCCCATGACAATTTAAACTGGACAAGGTAACTGCAGCAGTGGCCAGTGTGGGGGTTGCCCAGCCTGCCCACATAAGCAGGATTGGGCTAATGGTCCTCTGTTGGGCATTCTGTCCTTGGTTTGCCTTGACTTCAGTGAGGAGGAGGGGTCTGACACAGGGTGGCCAAGGGCTAGGGCAGGCTACGGTCACACTGGAGCTGTCGAACAGAGGCTTTCAGCACCCATGAAGGGCCGACAGCACATTTGGGGCTGCAGCGAGTAAAAAATGAGCAGGGCCCTCACATGTGCTACACAGCCATTATTAATTAATAGAGCTTCAGAGAATATTGTTCTAAGTAAGACAGAACTGAAAAGAAAACAAACAAAGAGTATTTGGCCATTCAACATTGTGAAACATAAAATAACATTATAAAATGACATGAACACATGTCCCAGTGTACTTATGATGAATCAAACAAAAATAGCAAATAAAGTGCTGCAGGGAAGGCTGGCCTGTCAGATGCTTCCTAGTGATGGAGGGGCCTGAGGTGCAGGGGAAGGGCCAGGCTCTGGAGTCCAGTGACTCATTCCTGAATGGCACAGACCTCCCTGCCCAGGCCACATGGGGTCTGGTTTCCCCTACCGCCTGCAAGCTGCTGTAGCAGGAAGATGAAACCACATGGAAGGCTTTCAGCTTCCACAGCCTGGCAAGTTTCAAAGCCTCCAACTTCCCTTCAGAGCACCTAGACATATTCTGTGGCCACCTTGGGGGCCATAGCCCACCTGCCAGGGCAGACCCCAAAAAGTAATCTTGCCCTATAAAAGCTCCTTTCTTTGGGATGAATGCTTGAGTCTGGGCCACTGAGGCCTGCAAGGATTTAAAAAGTCTGGGAAGAGGACTGGAAGCTTGGATTGGGACAAAATAGGATCATGCCTGCTGGAGCTGCTGGGGGAATGCCCAGAGGTACAGGTAGGAGGGGACGGGGCAGCCTTAGGTAAGAGGACAGAGTAAAGGGGAACAGTGGTCAGAGAACACCCCAGAGGAGCTATTCCAGGTTGAGAGAGACCATGCCCCTGTGAGATGGTGAGAACCACAGAGGCATATGGGCCCTCAGGTCTTCTGTGACAAGTACTCTTCATGCTGGAATGGGGCTGGTACTTTGATGCCCTGAGACTCTAGCAGGGAGCTGCTGGTACCAAGGTGAGGACCCCTGATGTGTTGTAGCATAGCTGGGCATGAAAGCTAGAGGCTGCTGGACCACTCAGCTTCAGAATGAGGCATCTTGGGGCCCTTCTATAGTCACATGACATGCAGTAGCAGATGGCCACTGAGATCACAGAAGCTGAGGCTCAGCCCACACCAAAGCTGACAGAGGCCTCTGCCTTCCTTCATTTCTAGAGCTGCCTTCCAATGCTTCTGTCCTGTGTGTTCCCTCCATAGCCATTGTTCTGGATCCCCCTATCCTGCCCTGCCAAGCCACAGCTCACAGGAAGCAGGGACATAAATACCCCTGTTCACAGGACTTCCATCCAGGGAAGGACCATCTGTGGGGGTGAGAACCACAAATGTACCTCAATATGCTCTTGTCCATGGTGAGCCACAGCCTCCTCTTCTGACAACCCCACACAGCCATATTCCAATGGAGTGAAGACAGTAGTGGGAACCTAAAAAGCAGGTCTGGAGTCAGGTATGCCTCTAGACCCCCAAAATTGAAAGTCTCCACTGTGTAATTCAAATAGAAGTGATCACAGGCCAGGGCCCTAGCCACAGTGGCTGGCAGGCTGCAAGCACAGCAAGTGGATCCATTCACAGTTCCTGGGCTTCACTCTTGGACTAAACCATAAACATGTGCTCATATATGTGTACAAAACATTCACACTTGCATATGCACATATGTACCATGAAAGTGCAGGCATACAAGAGCACACACATACCCTACCCACTCCAGAAGATCCAGCCTTAGCCTTTTCCAGGCTGGACTTGGGTTTCTTTAAGAGAACTCACATTGTTATAATCCATCAGGTCTGAGGATTGTCCAAAGAGCCGCTGGGCCAGAAGCTTCCCTGCCATGATAGCTGTGGGTGTCAGCTCAGGCCGTCCCTGATAGAAGAAACTCAAGGTTATATCAGTACCACATTAGAGAGGGCACCACCCATCATCTTCCTCATGGGCAGCTCCCTGATGAAACTCCACAGAATGGCAGTGAGTTGAGAGCTTTCTCCACTGGAGGTTGATTCTCCCATGGTGAGAAGGTGCAGGAATGCCAAGACCCTCATTGGTTTGCTTATTCTCTTAATGGCTTCCTTACACTCTCCTCTGGGGAGAAACCTGTGCTTATGACCCTCTTTCCAGGAACAGAAAATGAACTGCTAATGGGCTCAGTCAGTTCACTTTCACTCACTCAAGTCTTCTCTCTGAATCCCTTATTCATGTTAATGAACTCAAAGGTTTGTCCCCATGACAAACCTCAAAAGAGATCCTTGCTCCATTCCCATTAACTGAGATTTCAGCTAAAATGATCCTCAAGTAGCCCATATGCTCCTGATACACGCCTTGAAGTGCATGTCACAGCCCATGACAAATCTCAAATCAAAGTATCATACTGTAGGAGACCCCCCCCAACCCAGGGTATACTCCCTGCCTTGGGTTTTCCTGCATGTGTAGACCTGGGATCTGCTACCAGTCACTTCTGCAGCAGGAAATGCAGATGTTGTTTGGCATTCCAGAAATGAATAGAGATCTGCAGAGATAAACTCAGGAAAGCAGCTTGTGCATTCCACCAGGCCTGACTAACTGCGGAAACATCCACACACACAGCACACAATATCTCATTAAACAATATCCCCCTGCCCCCAATCCTCAGAGCTCTTCCCAGCTCTGGTCTAACACTGGGTGTTAACTCTTTGTACTGCTCAAAAATGACCTTTGAAGCTACAAAGAATGCTTTTGTATTTGTCATGTATTTCTGGCAATATAGTTCGAAGTGTTATCATTTCTATCACATTGTTATAGGCCTTGGAGAGTTGGAACTGTGTTAGTGCAGATGAAGAAACTTCAACTGGTGGGTGCAAAAGAGGCGTCATAGGATGCACAGAGATGCACACAGTGTTATGCTGGTAAGAAAACAGTTTTTGTCTTAGGGTACAGCACTCACAGGATTCAACAGAAGCCTGCACACAGATCACCACATCCAAACTGTCTACAGGCAGAGAGGCCTAGCAACTGCATTGCTCAGCTAAGTGGGCTGGAGCCAGTTGACAAAAGAAGCCATTACTTTGATGGATTGTGTACAATCCAGCAGGGAAGGGGACAAACTCTGATAGCAAGCCCCACCAGAGCTGTCTCATAATCCTTTTCAACATGGGGAGCCTTAGAACATCTACCTGGCAGGGTGTGGGGGTTGCATCTGGCAGCAGTGGGTACCCAGTGTCCTCCAGTGCCCTACACATGTTTTCTTGAACTTGAGTCACAGGGGCTTGAGTGCTTGAGTAGCAGCAACTTGGCTCACATCTATGTATTAGCAATGGCTGATAGGTGGTGCCTCTTGCACACTGGGGGCACGAAGGACTCTATTGCCCCAGCAGAAAGGATTAGTGTGGGTCCCAGTATTTGGCAGGAATGACTCATACCACATAAGCAGGCTGGTCCCTAGGAACAAGGGAAAGCCTCACCTTGTACAGCCCTCTACTCTGATCTGTTTCTACATGTATGCCAACCTTTTCCCTGGTGTGAGCCTTAGCAGAGTCCAACATGGAGGAATAGTCCTTCAGTATTGATGATAATGCCTACCTGTGCCCACTTAGCTCTGGGATATCCCACCCAGGGACTTGCTAGCCTTAGATACTGGCTCCCATTCCCTCCAAGCTCCTTGCTGGCATTTTCCAAAGTGGGTTCTAGGGTAATCCAGGGCAGGGTGGTGCCTGTACTCTCCTGAGAGCACTAGTATCCCCACCAAGCCTGCTGTGTTCCAGCACAGGGGTGGACACTCACTGGGCCCCCTCTCTTAACTCCTTCTAGGTCTCTCCTGATCCCTAGTACTAAGCATCTCTTGATGTCTGAAATAATTCACTTACTATCATCTATAACCTCTTTCAAGATGCACTTCCATGTGGGTGTAACGTTTGTTCCTGCAGTGTCCCTAGTACCCAGAAAAATGCCTGGTATGCAGTGGGCACTCAAGTGAATGCCCATCTGAGTGAATGTAAATTAATATATTTGGGTGGGTTGAATAGAGACTTCCCAAAATTCATGACTGCCTGCAACCTCAGAATGTGTTCTTACTTGGAAATAGCGTCTTTGCAGATATAATTAGGGTTGCAGTGGATTGGGATAGGCCATAAATCTGATGGGAAACATTTGTAAGAGACAAATAAGGGCACAAAAACACATGGAGGAGATGGGTACATACTGAAGTGATGTGGACAGGATTCAAGGAACTCACAGGGCCATCAGAAACAGGGGGAGACAGAAAAAAATCCTCCTCTAGAAGGTCCTGGAGAGTGCAGCCTGGCCTATACCTTCATTTCAAACTTCTGGACCCCAGAATGTGAGAGATGAATATCTGCTGTTTTAAGCCACTGAATTTGTGGTGATGTGTTTATAGCAGCCCCAGGACATGAACACACACATGGATGACATTAGCATATCTCACTGCAAAGAGGTGACAGGGCCTAGGAATGTAGGGAGCACCTCTCAGCTTGTTTGACTAGGGACGTCCTGAGGCACCTTCCCCCGAATGCATTAGAAACATGCAGGTCAGGCCAACTGTTCCTGAGGATGTGGGGAAACAGTGTCCCATGACTGATTTCTTTCAAGAAACCATGCAGGTTTCTTGGTGGGTGCCCATAAAAGAGAGGGTGACTAGATGCCTCCCAAGCTAGGAGGAGGGTCTAGGGACTTCAACCAGGGACTCACTAGGGAGGTGCTACAGTCCTTGCTTTCCAGGGGAGATAGTAAGACAGGGAAGTGACTGCAGCTACAGACCCAGTGGATAGAGGCAGACTCCAAAGCCTTTGTGTCTTCCTTGGACTGAACCTCCCACCAGGAAAAATCAAACTGGCCCCCATTTACAGTAACAGTAAGAAGCAGACACCCTGCTCCCATGTGATACCCTAATCAGGGAGCAAATTGAACCTGCCTGCAGATCAGAGGAAAAAATAAGGCAAGGTGGGCAGGACCAGGAAGGGCTGAACTAGGCCTGCCCTTCTACCCCTGTGGGAACAGGATGGCCCTAGGGCCTCCAACAATGTCATTTGTGAGATGTGGCTAGTTGAGCTTACAGCCATTTTTTTAAGTTATCCCACACTAACTCTCCACGGGGGGTGGGGGGGAAGCTTTCGAAAGAGCTGAATCTAATGCCCAGTTCTTCCCAGAACACACCCTACCAACCCCTGAGGTTTGGTCCAGTGCCTCTGTAATTGAAGAAATTTCTCTTTCTCATGTGACAGCAGCCACAGGAACATGGACAGCTGGGGGGTTCCTGGTCATAGGAGATGAACAGAGGGGCACAGGTCATACCTCAGCAACATCTCCAATGGCATAGATGTGGGGGACAGAGGTGATATCCTGGGCATCAACAATGATCTTTTGATTCTCAGGGTTTATATTCACTCCAACTTCCTTCAGATTCAGATTTCTGGTTTCTGGAATTCGACCTGAAGGAAAGACAAAGAAGGTTGAAAGATTTTCTTTAGAAGTTCTAACCTAGATTCCTTTTATTTCAAACATTTCTTGGAGCTGGACATGGTTATAGTGTACCTGAAGTTCCAGCTACTCAGGAGACAGAGGCAGAGGGATCACCTGAGCCAGGAGTTTGAGGTTAGCCTGGGCAACACAGTGAAACCCTGTCTCAAACAAACACACAAACAAACAAAAAACGAGAAGGAGGAGGAGGAGGAGGCGAAGGAGATGGAGGAGAAAGAGGATGAGGAGATAGAGGAGATGGAGGAGAAAGAGGAGGAGGAGATAGAGGAGATGGAGGAGAAAGAGGAGGAGGAGATAGAGGAGATGGAGGAGAAGGAGATGGGGAGGGGAGAGTGGAGGAGGAACAAGAAAAAAAATTAAAACATTTCTCAGAATGATCTTAGAAATGGTCAAATGTGAAGTACAGATGGTCTCAAAGGGCTCTCGGCTTCTGTAGACAAGCAGCTTCACCATGGAAGAGGGGCAAGGGTGTCTGTTATGAACCTTTATCAAATGACACAACTAGTACATTGCTGCATACTGAAGAGAGAAGCCTTCTCAGTGGCTGCATTCTGGCATGTGGGGGAAAGAGCAGATGCTTACAAATACAAATGCTGCCCAATATCAGGGTGCTAGAAATAAGACTCCAGAATCTTCCATGGGCCTCAACCTAGCCTGCACCACCACCAGTATTAGCATGAATAGCTCTGATACTGTCTTCATCTTGAGAAACCAGCCCTTCCTTGGAAACACAGAGTAGTGCTGTTGGCACCTGGTCCTCTTGCTGGATCATTCTCCACACCACAGCTCACTGCCATTAGGTACCAGGAACACAGCCCCCAGATTTTGAGAGTCCAGCTGGGCTTCCTCTGAGGGACACCAAATGGCTTTGATGGCCTCTTTCTCATCTGGACAGTCTGAGGCACAGTTGGACGTGTACTGGGTTATAGCCTCAGTTGACACTGTCTGGTCCCACCCAGGACCTTAAGGTCTCTCCCCTCCAAGGATGCATGCTCAGGGCCTCCTTCTCCACTAATGATGCCTTCTTCATTCCTTTGGTTGTTCCCCCCAACCCCCCATTGCTGGAGATCAAATCAAGGACCTTATGTGTGCTAGGCCAGTATTCTACTACTGAACTGTACCCCAGACCCTTTCCTTTGGTTGTAACATGAAGATGTTATATATTATTTTTTGTTTCTGACAGTGCAGAGGAGGTCTGGCTCCCACAACCCAGGGCAGAAAAACTTAGGCCTTAGAAGTAACCCTACATGGAACTGAGACCCTTAAACTGACATGCTGCAAAAGCTACATAGATAATGCTTTTTGAAGGTGGGCCCTGGGCCCCTGCTGGACTCTGCTTTGGACTACTACATGCTGGGAGATGACTGCCTGGGATTCCCTGTCCCTCCATGAACAAGAGACCCTGGACAAGCCTCTTTTCTCTATGAACTTCAGTGTTCTCATTTGTAAACAGTGCCAATGTGAGACCCAGACAAGATGAGGCATATGGCTCACATGGAGATTCCTTTTCCATCCTGCCTTAATAGTCACAGGGGAAGGCCATGAGACCATTGAAGAACCAGTTCTTCTGCCTGAACTTTAGCAGAGGGAGTCCCTATGCTGACATGAGTCAGGAGGGGCTACCTAGGTGATCTGAGGGGCCATGGGATAGAGTAGGGCAGGCACACAGCAAAGCAGTGAGTGTTCAGAGCATCCTTGTGAAGATGGAGGAAATGCATGTGCACATACATGTGCCTGTAAAACATACACACACATTTGCAAAAGAAATCAATGGAAGATTAAAAGCAGAATCTTACAGGAAGTGAGAGAAGAGGACAGAGGGACCGAGGTAGTCCAAACACATCTTGTGACATTTTGGTTTTCTTTTTTCTTGAATTCTACACAATTATATATTCAAAAAATAATATTATATTAACACAGGAAAAATTCTTAAAAACTACAAATAACCTAAAATGAATGAACCTAACTTCATATAAGGCTGGTAACAGTACACACAAGAAAAGCATTATAGTTGTACCTGTGAGAAACTGGTTCCAGGTCCCCCCACCAGGGATAGTAACACTCAAGTGCCTTTTACAAAATGGCACAGTGTTTGCGTATAATCTACCCACATCTTCCTGTAAACTTTAAATTATCTCTACATTATTGGTAATATCTAATACAATGTCAATGCTAGGTAAATAGTTGTTACACTGTATTGTTTAAGGAATAATGACAAGATAAAAAGTCTGTATATGTTCAATACAGTGCAGCAACACAGTACTTTCCATCCATAGTTGGTTGAATCCATAGACAAGGGTTGACTTTTTTTTTTTTTTTTTCCTATGCCACTGATTGAACCTCAGGGTCCTTAACCACTGAACTACATCTCCAGTCTTTTTTTTTTTTTTTTAATTGAGATAGGGTCTTACTAAGTTGCTTAGGGCCTCCCTAAGTTGCTGAAGCTGGTGTTGAACTTGCAATCCTCCTCCCTCAACTTCCCAAGTTGCTGGGATTACAGGTATGTGTTACTGTACCAGGCTCAACTATTGTTGAAAAGATGGAAGGAGCCCATGTTTCCTAATAATAAAGAAAGCTGCAAAATATCATCCAAAGAGGACAATTAAGACCCTGTAATTTCACATTTCAACTGTAAATAGTAATTTCTTTTCTTTTCCAAAATATGAAGTTCTGGGCTCTGGTCTAGCAGCAGAAATGATCAATAAGTGACTCTAGCCCTAGAATGGGATCTCTAAATGCCTCCCACCAAGATCAGGTTCTTCCTGGTCTAGATGGCTTGTAAATGGGGCAGAATATGATCAAAGACACTGCATAACAGAGAAGGCCAGGCAGCATGGAAAAGCAGCATACCCCAAGAGGAAGATACCCATCTTAGTGAGATTGAACCTAGGGTCCTTAACCACTGAAGCTACATCTATAAGTAGTGCTTATAGGAGTAGTTGCTCCATCCAAGTAGAATGTAAACCCTACAACTGTCTTGTATTTTGGGGTATGGGATATCTCAGTCTTGTGGAGCTCCAAGTGAGCTGACCACTTGGCAACTCTCCATATGACTCTTCCTGGGAGAAGCAATCTTCTCCCCACTCAATCAGCCCCCAGGACTCCCCTGAAGCATTTACCATCCCCCATTACTGAGCTCCTCATACAGGCAAGCCCCTCACATCAGGATGGGTTCATATTCCTCTCTGCCAATATAAAAAGTGGGCAGTTTTCACCCATATGTCCCCATAATCCAACAGTATGGCCTGTAGTCAGTGTTGTATAAAGCACAAGCCAACAAGAGCCAGCAGTGAGAATTTGTAAGTTCATGCTCCACCCAAACTCTCAGAGCAGGCCCACAACCTACTTATCAGGCAGACATCACAGGTGCTGAATGAGCAGGGCTTGCAGCCAGGTCTTCCAGCCACTCCATGTCCCAGGCCTCCACTAAGTCCTTTCCTACATGCCCCAAATGGCTGCCCAGCAAATAGCCCCAGTTTTGAGACCTCAGAGTTGAGAGGAGCTGGGCTTTGGGGCAATGTCTGAATCACATCACACCTATATTAAGGCACATTTGGAACCCACTGATCCTGCTTTCCAGGTGAAAAGTCAGGAGGGGTAGTGGCAGTCCCTGGTAGCATTGGCATGGCTGTCCTCTCCATACAGCTTTGGGCCTATAGGCAGAGAGGCAACATATGGATCTTATCATAGTTGAGCTGTCAGTGGAGGTTCCTTTAGCCCCCAATTCTGAGGAGTATGACCTGGTTGAGCCAGTGGGTGGTCCTCCAGGGCTAGGGTGCTCTTGGCTCCCAGTGGCTCAAGATTCCCTAATGACAAAGGTGATTTGCTATTAGAGGTATCATTTTATCAACTCTTGGAGTCTCAGACAAAACAGAGTTCAGCAGGCAGCAGCCGGGAATTGGGTGGCGCCCACCTGAACTTCTGGGAAGATAATGCCCCTATGAAAAGGAAACTTTAAGTCTCCAGCTGCCGCCCCACAGTGGGAAGTCAAAACACAGAGGCTCAGCTAAGCTGAATTGCTCAAGTTCATGGGAGGCCGGCTCCAGCCTCTTGGAGCTGCTAGGCCACAGGAATTGGATGCCAGTCAGGATCAGCCCAGACTCAGTGGTGAGAGACCACATCAGAGGAAGGAGCTGAGGTCACATGGGCAGGACTGGGGCATTCAGGAGATGAGGGTCCCTGCAATCTGGGGCTCAGAGCTCAATTGTTGGGTCCCTCCCCATGCTGGTCTGTCCAACTCAACCGCTGCTTCCTGGAGACAGTTGAACTTAGAGCAAAGCTAATAGCCCTGCTACAATGCTGGCCACCCCGTATCTACACAGTCCCGTGTACACCTGCCTGTATTCCTGGGGAGGCGAAGAATATCTCCTTATGCTCTTTGCAGTAACTAACAATTATGGACCTTACAGGTGCTGACGAAGCTCTGTGCCAATGTCCAGAGGAAATAAAGATACAGCCATGCAACACTTAATGACCAAGATATATTCTGAGAAATTTGTTGTTAGGTAAATTCATCAATGTGCAAACATCTAGAGTCTACTTAAACAAACCTAGGTGATATGGCCTATTACACACCTGGACTTTATGATATATCTCATATGTATATAGATATGTATATGCACACACACATATGCCTATGTGTGTGCATACATATATACATGCATATGTGTCCCCATAATCCAACAGCATGTATATGTGTGTGCATACATAGAGATTATGTGTGTGCATGCACACATGGGAGATTGTGTATATAGCCTACTACTCCTAGACTACAAACCAGCACAGAATTTTACTCTCTGGGCACTGTACGCAGTTGTAACACAATGGAAAGTATTTGTGCATCTAAATAGATTTGTTTGCAACAGCAGCACCACAAACAAGCAAGTGTTGAACTACAGTTACACTAACTCTGAAGAGGTCATTATACCATAGAACGTTTTCAGTTCTATTA